TGTTGTATGTCTGTATCATATATGTTCTACCATTTTCCTACCAGTGGACCCTTAGGTTGTTTTTCATTTGTTGCCCTGCCCTCCAATGCTACAATGTTTATCCCTATTTACTATGTAGTGATGCTTTTATTTCTGTAAGATAGAGTTCCAAAAAATGGATTAAGGGCCAAATCTTGTGTTTATTTTTATGTCGAACAGACACCACTCTTCCAAAGCCTTTCCTTCCACATGTGCACCTAGATTCGATTCCCTCCTGACTGCTGAATGGCATTGCTCTGATAATTCTCCCTTCTTGCACTAAATTGTCAAGTTTTCTCTCTACAAATTTATTCTCTTAAGTATAATAGCACGCTATTATTTTTTCCATCATAACAAAACATTCTCTTCAGTCACTCTACCACCTTGACTATCTCTTCACTCCCTGTACAGTAAAAGTGCCTGAAAAAAATTATTACTTAGTATCTTCAATTCCTCATCTCTCATTCTCTTTTAAACTGCCTCTAGAATGATTTTATTTTCTACTATCACTGTCCTCTAGTGCTCTTTTTGAGATCAGGAATGATTTCCTCATTGCTAAATCCAAAGGTCAATTCTTATTGACCTAGCATCAGTGTTTGACACAGGAGACCACGCCCTTCTCGGAACACCTTCTTTACCTGTCTTCCAGGATTCCTCATTTTCTTGTTTTCCTCCCACCTCATTCATCACTCTTTCTCAGTATCCCTTGCTGGTTTTTCTTCTTCTTTCCAACTTTGTAATGTGAAATATCACAGGGCTTATTCCTCAATTCTCTTTTCTTCTCTACACTCTCTCTCTTTGGTGGTCTCTTACAATCTCACAGCTTTAAAAGACATCTATGTCAACAACTTCCAAATGTGTATTTCCAGTGGACCTTTTCCCACATTCCAGACATGAATAGCCAAGTGCCTACTCAACATCTCCATGTGGTTGTCTAAGAGACATCTCAATCTAAGCATGTCTTCCTCCACAAAACTGTATCTCTTTAGTCTGCCCCATATCAGACACTAGCAACTTTATGCTTCTCCACCATGTCCATATAGTTTAGTATAGATATAAGAATTGACCCATGGATCTAAGGCTGAGCATATAAATTCTATTAATTGGTGCAAGTAAATGAGGAAAACTACTATGAGACAAAGTTGGTATTTTAATTAAGTGGGAAAAAGAGTAACTGGCTCTTTATTTGAAAGAAAGCAAAGCTACACATTTGTTAAAATAAATTTCAAATGAATTGAAAATTTAAATTGAAATAAAAATAGAAGCATTAGAAGAAAATTTAGAAAAACAGTTCACATAACCTTACTTCTACTTTTGCCCCCTTTAGGACATTCCCGACGTCTTTTCCTTCATTCCGTTCAGCCACACTGGCCTCCTTGCTGTTCTTTGGACTTACCAAGCTCACTCCTGCTTCGAGCTGGCTGTCTCTTCAACTTGTAGTATGCTTTTCTCAGATACAAGTATGAGTCACTCCTTCAGATCCTTCAGGGCTTTGTTCAAATGTCACCTCTTACTGAGACCACCCTATTCATGACTAGCCTTCTTGCACTTAGGAACACTGGACACCATTTCAGAACTATGTTTGGGGCCATTTGTGATCATAAAATCACAAACAAAAACAGAAATGTAGAAAACATGGCACAAAATAGACTGTGACAAGCACACGTTTGCAGTATGAGGGCTGAAATAAGGAAGAGCATCTCTTAATTCATTCTCAGCTGGGCATCAGGCAACTCAAATTTTTTTGCTGCTCTGTGCATGTCTGCAAATGATCAAAACAGCACTTTGTGAGTAGTGCTTTTTGAGGTTACAAATATATTTTGTGAGTAAGTGAATTCATAAATATGGAATAAATAATGAAGATCAACCATATTAATTTTTGGAGCATGTATATTCTTATGCTAGTGTTTTGGTATGTTTCTCCTTTTGTTCAGGTTTTATTTTCTGTAGTGAGTGAAACATTACAGTTTTCTTTATATGAATCTTGTACCGTTTTTCTTTAGCTTTTTTATTCCTAGTTTCTCTTTAAAATAAATTTTATAGACATTGTAAATAGAATTTGAATAAAATTTCTAATTGACTATTGCTTGTACAGTGAAGAGCTATTACTTTATGCATATGTATTTTATTTTCTACCACTCAAAGCCTATTAATTCTAGCAGTATCTAATAGAGTTACTTTCTTGGGGATTCCCAATCATATTAGCTGCAAATGAAAGTAATTTTGTCTGTTCTTTTCCACTGTTTTAATTTTCTTTTTTATTATGTTTGCAAGAACTTCCCAAAATATTTAATAACAGTGGTGTTATTTGGCACCTAGCATTCAATTATGTTTTTGTAAGTGAAAATATTCTCAGTGTAAACCATTGTAAGTAAAGTAAGTGAATTCACATCAAAAGGAGGGAGGCTTATTACCATGAAGAATATTTGCTGAATCAATGAATGAATTTAATATTATCACTTGGCAAAATCATTAATCTCTTAGAAGATGGCCAGTACTAATGTGACAATTGATATCAAAGATGTGTTTTTGCCTGTCGTCCCATTGTAAAATAGCAATATTCCATATTCAGTTTTCCTTCATCAGCAACTAATCAGAAATTCTGAACTTATAACTATCTAGGCTAAACTAGAAATTTTTTCTTTAAGAATTTTACTTAGGGGACCAACTCTATTGTACTAAGGTGGACAGAGTATATCACTTTGACATTTAAAGAACCTCGAGCTTTACATAGAGCTTGCAATTCACTTTCCTCCTCTTATCTCTCCAAATACTGCTCTGGAAGCAGAAAGAACAGGTTATCCCTATTATCAGGTAAAAAAACTGAGTCACATGCACAATTGGCTGAGGACAAGGTTTCCGTGTCTCTCTGTCTCAGGCTCAAACGTCACCATCTTCTCCCAAGACCATGTAATTACTCCTCTGACTCTCTTTCATGCTTCCTTCTAAAAGAGCTCTTGATCTGCCTTATCTATCCATCCCTTCATCATGCATCCATCAATTTTATTATTCAGTTAGTCAGTCATTCAACAAACATTTATTGAGCATTTATCACATTCAGACATTGTCATAGATTCCAGAAATACAGCTGAAAGCAATATATAAGGTTTCTCTCCTCCCACCACCATGGAGCTTACATTATAGCAAAAAAAAACACCCCCAAAACAAAAAAAAAAACATAATAATAAAAGTAACAAATATATAATGTCAGAGGCTGCTGGAGTGCTTTAATGAAAAATAAAGCAAGGGAGGAGGACTGAGAGTGCCGGAGTGGAGAGAGTGGCTGCAATGTAAAATGGATGGTCAGGAAAGGCCTTAAAGATGAGATGACATTTGAGCAAAGACCTTCTGCAGTCATTTAGGAGGCGAAGAGTCAAGCCATTCAGAGGAGTGGTCTAGGGGTACCAATTCTTTAAAGTAAAGGTTTAAGTATTAGCGAAGGGTATCTGGCTTCGCTTAATACTTAAGTGAAGAGAAATGTGAATAAGACTATGTGTTCATGTTCTAACTATGAGAATGTAGGAATTTAAACAAGACCTCAAATATTCAATAAACCTGGATGACTAATCGACATATTTTATTGTTACTCTGTTAGAGAAAGATGAAAGAAATGGCTTGAAGAAAATAAATGAGTTAGAACATGATATTTTTACTTTTATATTTAAATTCAAATTCTTTGTACTATATGAAAGAAATACATCAAGATGATATCCAAAATCTCTAACTTTCAGGATATATTGATAACAACCTGATAGGTAAAATTGACATAGGCATAATGAATGGAATCTAATTGCAAAGTTAATATGTACTTTTTCCTTTGAAGAGTCCTAAAAATATATTTAAATCAGACCAAATTATAAAGTGACAAAATGACCACGAAATAGAATCTGGGATTGAGATGGAACTATGCTGGTGTATATCTGAGAAAAAATTAGAGAATTACAAAAGAAATTAATAAATAAACCAATTTAAACTGATCTCTTCTTTTACTCCCAGTAGATAAAAATGGGAATAAAGGAATAATTCTGGTATTTTTTCCTCCCCAAATGTTTGATGATTATAAACCCAAGGGAACAGTATCTCTTTCCTTTACTTTCTGCAGTTTTAAATTGTGAAGAAATGGTTATTTCAAAAATTAAGATGACTTTTGAAAGTCACCTTTGAGTTAGTGATCAGATATGTGATGAGTGGCCTCACATCTCTGTGATGGTAGGGTACACTTGGGATGACCTTCTGGAGCACAATTTAGTATTCTGAATTATGAGAATTAACAAAATTTACAACTTATGACCCAAGATTTTACTTGAGTAAATTTATCTTTATAAAATGTTACAAACATAGGAAGATAGATATATATTTAGGCATGTTCACAACAGAATTTAGGGGGGAAAATTTGAAAATAATAAATATGTTAAGGGATTATTTGTGAATTATGGCACTTCCTTATAAAGATAAGAGTGAGGACATTAAAAATGACATTTTGGAAACGAATGGCATGAGAAATGCTCTCCATTTAATACAGGTGAAAAGAAGAATGAAAAATTGTATCTATAGCATAATTTCTGTTTTGGAATACTAAAATGGGACTAGCATTAATCTGTGAATGATGAGATACTGAGTGCCTTTCCTTTTTTTTTTTAATGAAGTATTAATTCTGAATTAGGCTTTGAAAGGAAATCAATAAAAAGTACAAATGTAAAACGAAGTTATTCAAATTCTCTAATATTAAAATTCTTCTGTGTCTGTCCGATGCCTTTAGTTGAAATAATTCTAAAGGTTGGATGAACCCCTTGAAGGCATTTCGCCTCTTGTTTCACTTTAAAATTAAAGGTAATTTCTGCAGGGGAAAAGCATCTTAATCTCTCCCGCTTTCCCCTCCTCCTGCCTTCCTAGGATCATCGGCATTATGAAAGCTGCTGCCTATGCTTTTTACCCAGGCCCTGGGCCATTACTCCACAGGACTGTCACTCAGCGATACTCACCTGGCCCGTGCATGGTCAGCCATGTCCTTTGGATTCACCTGTTTCAGCAGTCACTGTCTTCTCGCAGCTTCTTTCCTCCCGTAGCGCCCTTGGAGCAGGTTGTTTCTGAGGGTCCTGAGGAGGAGTTTTGTATTCTCCTTCGCTGACATCTGCTGGAATGGCCATTACCAAGGGTGTCAGATCAGTTTCAACAGGTTTTCTTTCCTTATTTGGGTGGACTGGCCACCACGAATGTTTCTAAAATTATTTCGTTTATGGTTACGTTCTCAGAAAAATCACTTTACTTCCTTACTACCTGAATTTCTTCACATTTTCTCTGCCCACATGTACACATAGCATAGTTTTTAAATTAAAGATTCATCAAGTTCCATAATAACTATTCTTCCTTAGAGCAACCCAGTAATGTAGGATTTTAAAGAGATGAAGGAGGGCTAAGTCCATGGTTGCTAACACTTGAGTTGCATATTCCTTAGAGAATCAGGTGACCCGTATGGATTTATTTTCAGAAAAATGCTCATACATTTAACTCTGTGTAATTTCAGTGGATTCACATACCATCTGAAATTCACCCATGAACTCCATATTAAGAATCTCTGCCAAAGGAACAAAGAAGGAATGAGATGTTTTATTAAAAGATTTTCAGCACTTGAAATCTAACGTGTAATAACAAAGTGACCACATGGTGTCAGTCTAAGACCAATAAGCCCTTTTTCTCCCCAGGCTTTTTGACTAGAAACTGGAAGCTCACAGGCCAGTGAACCTGAGGATCAGGGTTAATAAAGTTTAGTAAAGCAATGCCTGCTGAGAATTACTGGGCAAGATCCAGTAATTCTGGATCTTGCCTATTGTGGACCATTCATATTAAAGGGAAAAACAAGGAAAAACTGTCCTTGGCACAGCTAGTTAATCAACATCTATTGTGGCATTGGAGGGTGATGTCATCTGTACGGAGAAACTGATTATTATATAGAGACTTTGTGATGAGAAGAAAGTGTTCTTTCTAGAAAATTGTAAATACTCTATGTTTAAAATTTACTATCCCATTTCTCTTTCTTTTTAGAAAGATCTAAATTCTCCTGCTGAGTATTTAAATTTTTCTTAAGAAAAAAAACATTTGAAAGGCAGCTTTGAAGTCTTAGTTTTATACTCTTCCAGTCAACACTGAAATAGTAATCTTTATCATTTTCTCTAGAGAAAAAGTGCTTGAAGTTTAGGATTCTGGAAAAGACATATTAAAAAACAGAAAACTTCTCCCCAAATGGACTAGCAACCAAAAGACTTATTGCTTCATTTTTATGAAGCCAGAGCCTTTTCTTTTTAGCCTGTGTCTGATTCCAAAGCTTCACACCTCCCATATCTCAGATATTCTCTAGTACACAGTATGGGATCGATGGCTTCAGACTGGACTCTGGACTTTTCTTGTCTCCAAAATGTTTTATTAAAATCTACCCTGTAAAGGCAACATATTATATTGAGAGCTACTTAAAGTTGACTTTGCCACTTTCTTCGTGTTAAATATTATAATGTATGGAAGGAGCGGAATCTGTACTTTTACTGAGGGAAAGTGTTTAAACTGCTGTAGCTTATGCTGATATGATTCGATAGTTCGGTACGTTGGACTAAATGTTACCTGGATGCAGTGCTCAATCACAGTATGAGACTTCTGGTGAGATTTGCTGTGAAGACCAGATAAGAAACACACCTGGCAGATGTCAAAGTTGAGACACTTCAGACAGCGGTATCTGCCAATAACAATGGAAGTGAGGCTGATATCACTACGAGTGGGCGATGCAGAGAAAGCAACATTAGGTGGAGAATAGCACCTTGAAACAAACAGGAGTTGTCTGAACTATAAAGTGAGTATAAAGTTTTTCTGAACTTTAAGGATGGTAAATGACTCTGATGTGCTTATTTAATCAAAGAAATCTTCTTTTGATAGTATTTTGATAATATGGCATTATATTAATATAGTTTTATCCAACAAACTATAGTATAGAAGTCTTATTCATCACCCCCCCCAAAAAAAATCAAGCACGATATTTGTGTACTACAATTTTTAAGACAGACCCTTAAGTCTGCAGCCACATTGTGTGTAGCTGTACAAAACATTCAAATATTTTGAGTTTAGCTGCCAACTTAAAAAAAGAATTGAGAGATTTTAATAAAGTTTGAACTCTGAGCTCTCTAAAATTTTTGCAAGATATGATGACATTGGACCTGCGTTCCTGCATAATGTTAAGGAAAATAAAGCTGTAAATAAAGAATTTAAAATAAACTTGTCATTTTCTAGAAGTCTATCTGCAGGATAGAAAAAACATGAATAAAGGGGAGTTCCTCTCCAGCCAAAGTGTCAGGGAGGGAGTGATACACCCAAGTGTCTTAACACACCGATATTGCAGGCTTTCTTTTATGAACAATTATAACCTTAAATCTCCTGTGGTCAGGAGGAGAAGAAAGGATCTTGAGACATTCCGGTGAGGAGGGGTGTCTTATAACATTCAGGGAATACTGTGATATCAGAGGAAGGCTGGTGAGACCATAGTCATGAATTCATAAGTTTTAAGGATATTGGAGTGGGATCATATTGTTTGTCTGTAAAAGATTGGCGATCTATACTTTTATTCTGATATTTTAATTTTTTTCTCCAACTTCAGCGTATGTGGCATAAAGCTCCGTCTCATCAGAGACAACAGTCGGGGAGGGCAAAGTGACAGCTACTCCTTTCAGATGTACTTTTCAGCTAACTAGCCACAGTCCCAGCCAGCCCATTTCTCTCACTTACGTACTGCTTGCCTTGCCCCCGTAAGCATGGAAGTTTTCAAATCCTGTCTTAAAAGTTAAAAAAAAAAAAAAAAAATGCTTCTCTCACTTATGTACTGCTTGCCTTGCCCCTGTAAGCATGGAAGTTTTCAAACCCTGTCTTAAAAGTTACCAAAAAAAAAAAAAGGGAAGAAATATAACAAGATCCTATTGCTCTTCAAATTTCATATCTTGGTGCAAAGAGAAGACGTGGAAGCTTGAGGTACTAACTAGCAAAGTTAGGGAATATGTAATTATGTGCCAAATGAGAGGCATAGAAAATAAGTTTTATGAGGGACAGAGGACAGGAGATCTCTGTGGGCTGGTATGGTCTGAAAAGTTTTCATGGAAGACGTGAGGCTCACGCTATGCATAGAATGCTGGTGTGGAGATTAAAGTGAAGGAAATCTCGGACGAAAAGAAAAGGAGGGATAAAGCATGTGGGCTGCGCTGAAGAATCAGGCTGTAGGGCAAATCGATCAACCAGACCTGCTGATAACTCTGAGGAGTAGAGGGGCAAAAACTTGGAACTCCCCAAGGTGGATGGCGAAAGGTCTTGAGAGCCTGACCAGAGTTTGACAGCAGAGTAGGAGAATGTAAGTGTCATGAGACCAGCCCTCACTGTCCTTGTTCACTGCTTTACCACAATACCTCCTCTCCTGGTACGATATTAATAAATAGTGTTGCATGGCTATAATAGTAGCTAACATTTTTAATCACTTACTATGTAGCAGGCAGTGTATGTGTGTTGACAGATTTAACCTACATGGAATGTCTTTAAGGTAAGCTACTATCATTATTCTCATTTTACACATGAAGGACCTGAATCAGAGAGAGTTAAAGCACCTTGCACAGAGTTACACAACTATTTGGTAAGTAGCAGAGGTAGGCTCTTGTCCCAGGGATACCATCTGAATGAAGAGCCAGACATTTTAACCACCGAGGCAGGAGGCTCGAGTTTGAATTCACATACCACCAGTATGAGTGCCCTTGAAATAGAAACTTAAGCTCACTGTTTTGGAAGATATCTGGTCCATGGTAGGTTTTCAATAAACATTAGTTGAATAAAGTTCAACGAATGACTTTGTTTCTTCACCAGGAAAATGGGACTGGTAAACTCTGCTTTGCAAAGTTTTTACAAAGCTTGGAAAATTATTCAACATGCGTAATTGAGAAGACATTCACTTTTTATGTGAAATGTGTAATATAATAGAGTATTGAGGATTATTCGATCAGCCACCTGTACTGGCTGCTTTATCCAGTGTCACCACATGGTTGCAGTGGACGCACCTAGGACAATACGTTGACCTAACCTTGCATTAGTTCCTCTAGGCTCTGAACTATCTGCAGGTATATGAGAAAGGGTGCAGTGTGGGTAATGAGATTGGTCTGTTGTTGATGCCTTTAGCAACAGAGAACCAAATTTTTCCCCCAATCTTATTATCTCAACCCTAAACAGCTATTACAGAGCGTAAATGTGACACATCCTGCTAAAATTTAATAGTTGGCTTAGGAGCAATCTCTGGTTTCTATGCTTTCTCTTACTTTAGAAGGTCAAGCCTTATTTTATTCCTGCTACCGCCAGGTCTGCAAACACGTTTGCTCTAAAATGGCTTTATTAATCTCACTAAAACTAAAAGCCTTAAGGCTATTGCTGGAGTTTACTAGAGCCAAAAACAACAGGTTCAAGGTTACTGTAATACATTTGAGCAATTTCTAATAGATTCAGAAAGTTACAGCTAAAAGAGACCTAAAGCATCATTAGACCCACTCCTTATTTCTCTTACAAATAAATCGAGGCCCAAAGAGGTTAAAGACCTCACCCAAATCACCCAGATACCTCATATATGAAAATACATATGGTCTTGATGTCTAGGAGGAAAGATGGTTCATGTGGAGGCATTTCTGTGAGGAATCTTAACCTCCTTCTCAATATATAGGGACATAATCTAAAACTTTAAGTATGGCACTGCTCGCCTTCGTCTTCTGCTATTTTTATGACTGACCTGAGCAAGTCATTCAAACTCTTTGAAACTCCTTTATAAAATAAGAATAATAATATCTGCTTTACATTATACATAAAGACTTTGAAAAAACATTTCAATGTAAAAGTTATGTTTTATATAATTGCAAAGTGACTTCTGTACCTGGCCCAGTGTTGGACACATAGTCACTGCTTAATTAATATTTGTTTATTGGTTAAATGATTAAAATATGCATATAACATGGTGAATAACATTCATGTTCCTTCACTGTCCAAAATTAAAAGTTTATTTTTCATTGTAGTGTGGAGATTTCTTTGGTTTGGCTTACTTGGTTTTCAACAGTCCCGTCCAGTTCTGTTTTGTTGTTTAAAGTTTACTTATTCGGAAAGAGTCTTTCATGAGTGAAGTTTCATTGTGTCCTCAGAATTATTTGCAAACCAAATTTATTTTCTCGGCAAAATAAAACCTGACTTCCAGGTTTTTAGTGGGGTCAGCAGATCTATTTTACATCTGTGGGGAGCATGTTTAAGGTCTGAGACTAGTTAAGATTTAAGAAGATGGGGAGAGAGGAGGAACTGGGGGAGCAGGAACCAGGCCCTGAGTCCTCACTCCTCCTGCCCCTTCTGGCCATCCCTGCCTTTGACTTGTTTTAGCTGTGGAGGGGTCCAGAACCCCCCTGGCATGCAGATTATTTTGAGCTGAAAACACTTAAAGCTCAAGAAGCAATTGTTGTTGTTTATCTCCCCCTTACCTGTCTAAAGGAATTCAGATAGGAAAACCTGCTTCAGAAAAGGAACCCTAGCATAGTCACCTTAGCACATATGAATTAAGTATGGCAGACAGGAAGGGTCCAAACAAGTGTGTTGGTTAGAGTCCCCTCTGTGTTCTATTGCTTCTGGGTGACCACACGTTTGCTCCTTCTCATCTACCTGTGAATTGCCTACACTTTCCCTTTGAAATCTCAGACGGCTGCCTTGATCCAGAATGGTAGATAAGCCTCAACTGCCCAGTGTGTCATTAGGTTTCATATTCTTATGGAACCCTTATCTGTATGTAAGTAATAAATTCGGCTATTTTCTTCTGTTAATCTATCTCATGTTAAATTGATTATTAGTCCAGCCAGAAGAACTTAGAAGGGTAGAAAGAAAATTATCTTTCTCCTCCTATAGCTAGCTACCTCTCACATCTCCAGCCTCGACACCTGTGTGCACTCACCTTGATATGGTGTCTCCCATGCTTGGCCTAGACCTGTTGGTTTTCTTTTCTCCTCCCCAACTCTTTAATAATAACTCTAATTTCACTTCCTTATTGTTTTATTTATGGGAGACTAACGATATCCTTTCCCTAAGATGGGATTTTGGCTGTCATCCTCAAAGCTGTGGAAAGGTCTGAATCTCCTACTTCCAAACCTAGCTTTCAAATATGCCCTTTCCTCTAGGCAGAGAGATCTGGCCTGAGCTGCTCCCACCAAATCTGATCATTCCTTTAGGTCTAAGAAATGTTCTCAGTTTTCTGCACAGGGAGGCAGTATAGCATCATGATTGCAAAGCAGGGACTCCAGATTTAGACGGTCAGCCTCTGCCACTTGTTAACCATGTGAATCTAAGCAAGTTATTTAGCTTCCCTGAAAATTAAGGATAATAGTACCACTTTTCATAGAGAGCTGTAACAAGTTGTAGATTAAATGATCCATGTGAACCACACAACAGTCATGTAACACTTAATAACTGCAAACTATTATTATTATTATTATGGGCGGCCCTAAAGAATTTTAAAGGGTTGTTTTTCTTTCTTTTTTTTTCTTTTTTTTTTAGTAACAAAAGACAAAATTCTTTCCTCTTCCATGAATAAAAATATCTACTGGTTAGAGTGGATGTCAATTGAAGAATTTAATATTTCATTAACCATAGAAAATAAAATAATTATTATCAACCAGGATCCTTAATGTAGGAAATTACCGACCCCCCAAAAAACCTCAACTGAGCTCCAGATGTGTGAGAAGGACCAAAAAAAGAATCTGGAGAGATACAATTACAATCTAGAGCCATTTGGAGAATGACTGTCCGTGTCATAGTGGTGAGTGACTGTACCTCAGTCCCGTGATTGGGAAGTTCCTGCAGATTCTACACCGAACAGGGTGAGTGACCATTTCAGTGGCTGACAATCGGTAGCAGGTTGGGAGCCACAGGAGGATGGGAGGCTCAGACTGTAACCAAGATAGGAATTTCTCTTCTTTGATTGCTGAGCTCAACACCTGAAAAACAAAGGTGTACTTTGATGTGTTTCTAGAAATGATGTTGGTCTCTACTATTGATGAAAATGTATTTTCCTCTTCTTTTCTGGTTCTGTTTCTGTCAGCTCTGCTGAAAAAGTTCATGACACGAAAAGTCACAGGCAAGTTGACCTCCTCAATTAAGTTACCTGGGGTGTCGTGTGGAGTACAGGACTGTAATTTAAATCAGCCAGCAACTGTGTCTACCACCCCGCCCTCCCCGCCCCCCCAGCTCCCAGGGTCATTTGCATGGCACTCACCCCTTGGAAACAGCTACGTGTAGCTCTTTCCACAGAGCACAGAGCACGACTCTCACCCACGACAGTTGGGATCTGCAAGAGGCAAGAAATCCCACATCAGCTGTTGGAAAATGGAAAAACATGTGGACGCCGACATCAGCACTCCTGAGTGGTGGTGCTTACAATCATGGAGTCACAAGAATTGGTGTCTGAGACTGGATGAACTGTCTTAATCTAAGCAAACAAGAAAAGTGTGGGTTTTGTGCAATGTATGAATAGAGACAATAGATGAATAAGCAAGAGGAAGTGGAGTCAGGAGGAGGGAGGAGAGGAGGAAGAAAGTTTGGCAGCTGGAGCAATAAGCGACAGCTTCTGTTGTTTCTTATGATCCCAGTCAAATTAATTTAACCTTTGTCGGCCCTTGTTTACCTATGAATTACAGATAATAATGATACTGTATTAAAATTTAGAGTAGTTTTAAGAACAGCCTTTCCAAACACTTTCATATCATCTCATTTTCACAAACGCCAGTTTCTGAGATAGGGCAGTAATCTTTATCCTTGTTTAAAGGTGATTGAGACTTAACATTTTGGTCAAGGTTATGAATGAAAGCGAGTTAGCTACAGAATTGAGATCTCATTTCAAGACTCCCTTCTCTGTTGGGGGGTTTTTACAAAGCTCTGCCACATTCCAAATTTACATCTATTCCAATGGCTCAATCTCACTCAATAGTTTCCATCTTTCAATCACAGTTACCATAAGGAGTTTAGCTAAGGGACATAGGATCCCTCATGCCTGCCAAGATGGCCAGGGACTTGGCTCTGACATTATCTATATGCACATTTATGTTTACCTGTCACCTCCATTTATGCCCATTTGGTTGTGGGGTCCTAATTTCAGTCTGACATCTTCTACAGCACAGCTTGTCAGCAGGCATTGCCTGCAAACTCAGAAGTAATTTCAAAGACCCCCTGCTGAGTCCATCAACTCGAATAAACATTCTTCTAATCAGGAAAGTGGCACTTAGAACCACTTTGCTGACAATTAGCCAGGCAGAAGTCAACAAACATTTGCTTTATAGTGACAAGATGGCTTGTACTTTAAATTGATAATAACCCCATCACCAGCCAAACATAAGTAACCATTCCCTATGTTATTTTGCCTTTGTCTGAAAAAATAACTCATTATCCATACATTGGTCTGTGAATGCTAGTGAACTAACTGGATCACTTATTTAGACATTGTCCTTGAGCCCTAGGAAAGGGGGTTAACCTAATTTGTGAAATAAGGGAAGTGTATCGGTTGACATTGACCTGCCAGCTCTGTGATTCTGACACTAGTCAAAAGAAAATTCACTGCCGTAGTGGGTTTTAACCTACATTTTTGGCTCTAAGCATGTGAACAAAAATTTTGTAGATTAATTGCTCATTTGACTAATTTCTTGCAGGTGTTCTGTGGAAGAATTAAACACGGCTAGATGACACGCTGGCGCAGGCAGAACACCACTTGAAATGATAATTAGGATTCTCGAGGGAGGGGTTTGCATCGCCAAGTGGGACCTGGAATTTTATATGGGACTCTATCTCTGAGTTCTTAATGGAAGTCAATGGGATGATAATTTGCTATGCAAATCTCCACCTTCCTAACAGCATTCTCTTGCGCATACTAATGCATTGGGGGAGACAGCTCTGCGGGAGCTGCCATTTCAGCAGCTCATTGACCTCAGCTGAGCCTGGAACAAGGGCAGATTTGGGGGGCCTGTTGGATGGTGTGCTCACCGGAATTCAGCTGCAGTAGTCAGGAAGCAAGCACAAGGATTTGGACAGGAGAAGGAAAATGGTCCTCAGTCCATCTTCTTTCACCACATTCACCCTCATAGGCCGGTCTTAGAAGTCTGTTTGTGTTTGTGGACCGACAGGTCTCCCGCTTTCCCTGGCTCCCCACCAGCTCGAGTCCTGAGATGTGGGGATTGTCGGGGTAGTGCCGTCAGTGCCTTTGCTACGGTAGCTCCTTGAGACGTGCCTGAGAGTTAGCAGAAAATGGGCATCGGGACCCATGTGCTACGACCACCACCGGAACAGCTCTGAAATAACTACGCCCGATGTTTTAACCTTATAAATTTAGAGAGTTAGCAGAAAATGGGCATCGGGACCCATGTGCTACAACTACCACCGAACAGCTGAAATAACTTCGCCCAATTTTTAACCTTATAAATTTATATACAACATCATTACTCCTTTAAGAAATACAAACACTTTAAATATTGTTCGTAACTTCCAGAATAAATTAAACATTAATTATTATGATCAATAGGAACATAAAATATTAATACTAAGATCAAAGCAAAACAGAGGTAATTTGGGATAGGTTTTTCCAAACCATACCCCCTGCCCTACAGTTCTGATCATCTCCTTCCTTACGTATTCCTTACCCCCATTATGGCTATATCCAGTTCAGAATCTCTGATCCTGAAGGGTACCAGAATGTGCCACCCCAAAATATGTCTCTTTGACATATGAATTATTAAGCTAAAAGCCATTGAGAACCAGGAGATGCAGGAAGAGCTCTAAAAATAGGGCACAAGTTTTTTGGGGGGTAAAGAACATATATATTTGGAAAGGAAATTTTCATTTGTCAGGTGTTTTCCTCTCTCTACCATGAAGAAGAGAACTCTTAAGAACAATTATCAATGGAGGAGACACAGACTTAGATCTGAATAACTCACCTTACTAAATAACTTTTGTTCACCACACTTTCTCTGGTCACCTTCTCCTAATTTGCCTCCCCGACTCAGAAGCCCAGCACCTTTTTCCTTTTGTTTAGGTTAAGGTGGTATGAAAGCATTCATCACTGGGTAACTCCCATGTGTATGCGCCATACATGTTAGTAAACTTGTTTGTTTTTCTCTTGTTAATCTGTCTTTTGCCAGTTTAATTTAGAAGTAATTTCTAAATAATCTCTGGCTAGGGTCCTAGTCAGAAATTATTTTTCCCTCCCCTACAGCTGAGACTCAGGAGAAAAATGACAGAAAGTTACTGTGGCTTCATAGTGTAGAAAACCGAGTGTGGAGATCTCACAGAGGCTGGAAGAAGAATAGAGATACCCTCAGAACGAGGGTAACAATACTAAATTTGTACATTTTTAAAGCATAAGAAATCATGGAAATCTTAACTATTTGAGTAGTCAGCATTGCATTTCATTTATGCTTTCATTAAACATTTGTTGAAGGCCTTAGTGCCGCACAGTTTTCAAACCATTGGAGAGAGAAACATGAATGAGATATTATTCTTGTCCTTGAGAATCAGCCCAGTGGGGAAAGCATATATCTAGGTTATAATTTGCAACAAAATTTGACAAGTACTACAACAAAATTATGCACAGGGAGTTAAAAAAGCTTTTAGTGAGATGACTATATTTGAATGACCTTGAACAATAAACTGTATTTGTCAAGTGAAAGGTGTTGCAGATAAATGGAACTGCGTAAGTCAGACATGGGAAACTTGGCACGTGTTGGCAAAGTAAGGATTTTGATATGCAGAAGTGAAAAGGGTATAAGGAGTGTAAAGAAAAATTAAACACTGTGGAATAAGCAAAAGAAACCACTAGATATCATTTCAATGGAGATTATCTGAATCTATGGAGATATACATCATTGTATTTGACAAGGCTATTTTACAACTGTAGATATTAAAGTTACCATGTATAAAACTGATCAAAATGCAAATAATTCTTATCTATAGACATGCAAATAAATTCTGTTCTGGTTGAAGAACAATTCTCCCCTTCCCCCAAAAGCCACCTTCAAAGGCATTTTAATATTCCTAATCTCTCGGTTTGTCTGTTTATTTGATTATCGCTTTCAACTAGTCTTACTGGTGCCCTCTTTTAATGCATAAATAAAATCAAATTTTGAACACATGTTCATTTTATATTTGTATGAGAATCACAATTTTACCTCTTTTTGAAATGAGAAGGATTGGTTCAATCATGAAAGCTTTGCTTATGACGCTAAGGAGTTCAGGCTTTATTCTACAGACGTGAATGGCCAGTGAAGAATTTTAGACATGAGGGCAACATGTATATTTTGGAAAAGTCACTGGTTTTATTCTGGAAATAGTGTGGGAGAGAGGGAAGGCTCGAGCTGGGAAAGCCAGCTAGGAAATAATTGGAACAGATCGGGGCTGTACTCGGATTATAGCAGTGGCTATAGAGGGGAGGGAGTGCTTGGAGAATTGTAGTAAGCTAGAAATCAGATTCTTTAATAACAAATGTGACTAATAACTGGAATGAACTGAGAATTCTTAAGTATTAGAGATTTACCTGCTGCAGATCTGTTAGTAGGTTTCTCAAAACCCTTCGAGTCATGCGTGCCCCAGAATCATAACCTCCTCTGTTATTTTCTGCATAGAGCTGAAAAAGAGCTAGACACATAAGGAGGAAAAGAAATCTTAAATTTAATTTCTTGCAATGTGTCTTTGAAGAGTATGTGCTTTGAATTCTAAACAGTTTATTTGTGGGTATGAAAGGGAAAAAAAAGAATGTTATATTTCTTTTATTTTATTATTAGTTTCAAGTATAGAGTACATTGGTTAGACATTTATATAGTTTATAAAACGACCCCCCTGACTCTGGCTCTCCACCTAGCCATTACATTACTGCTGACTGCATTCCCTATGCCATGCTCCCCACCCTCGTGACCATCTATCGACTACTAATTGGTACTTCTTTAACCCTTCGCTGCTTTCTCTCAGCCCCCCAACCCCGCTCCTTTCTGGCTGTCACCAGATTGTCCTCTATATTTGTGAGTCTGTTTTTGATTAGTGTGTTCTTTTTGAGGAACATTATATTTCTTGATTCTTTGCTTTCTATTTTGAAAACTTCCCAAACTAGATAATTTGATAACTACTGAAAGCCTTTGCCCATTTTAACCCCTCGATAATCCGGCACAACGATGATGAAGACCATGAAGTTGGTAAACAGCAGTGTGAGGAGAGTCCCAGTCTTTAAAGGAATAATAATCACCAGTGTCT